ATAAATAGGTAATTACAATATTGCCACAGGGATATGAAAGACAGTTTGGGGAATATAATTAATAATGTTGTAAATATTTTGTAGGCTGTCAGATGGACACATGTCTTGTTAGGGAGACCACTTCATGGACGGTGTAGATGCTTGACTGCTGCACTGTACACCTGAACCTGATGTTGAATAACATTGTATGTCAACTATAATTTAATATATATATATATAGTCACGGGATGTGGCGTATACTATGGGGAATGGAGTCAATGGAATTGTAATAGATATGTATGATATTGGCAGGGGGGGGCAGGGGGTTGCGGGAGGGGGTTATCACTTTGTGAGGGGTGAAAACTATAACTATTGCATTGTTTTGTACACCTGAAACAAAAAATAAAAAAATAAGTGTATATTCCTACACACTATAGTGCTCTAACAGATATTAAAATATAATGTAACATTAAAAAAAAATTATCAAATCTGAAAAACAAAAAAAATATTTAAGAAAGAAAAAAAGAAGGAAGAATAGATGCTTGTGGACCCATTGAAAAATAGACAAAGGTCTAAGTTCCATGTCTTCTGAGTCCCAGAAAGATGAGCGTCATGCAGAAAAAAAAAAATTGAAGAAATATGGCTTAACATTTCCAAAATTTTGTAAAACATATCAATTTATAGATTGAAGCAGTTTAGAGAATCCCCAAAGGGATAAAATAAAAGAAATCCATATCCAGATACATCATTGTCAAACTGGTGAAAACTAAACAAAAGGAATAAATTTTGAAAGCAGCCAGAGAAAAACAACCCATTATATTGTAGTTGAACATTTTTAACGTTTAAGTAAAAGAACTAAAAATACAGAATTCTATATTCAAAGAAAATATAATTCAGAAATGAAGGTGAAAAAGAGGTGTTCCGAAATGAAGTTGAAAAACAAAGAAACTTGTTTGCCAGAAGACCTCCTCTAAAATAAATGGTAAAGAACGTTTTGTCATTCTAGGAAATGATATCAGATGCAAATATGGTACATCAGGAATATAAGAAGAGCAACAGAAATGGCTATGCTTCTCCACTCAAGGACTTTAATATGATGACTGATGGCAAAAATTATAGCATTGTCTGATGTTTCACAAGTATAACACACATGAAATAACAAAACATAAAAGCGGACAAGGTAAAGAAACTAAATGAAAGAATTTCGACTCCATTTGAAGCGGGAAAACATTAATTCTACACATATTGTGAAAAG